GGGAGAACATGCAAACTCCACACAGAAAGATTCCGGTGCCCCCACCGGGACGCAAACCGGTGACCTTGTAGCTGCGAGGGAACCACAGTAAATGTGACACATTTAATTAAATGTTGGTCATGCAAATAAAATATAGCATGTGAAACTCAAATATTATGCAAATTTTACGAAATATTGCACATAAAATTGAAATGTGACGCATAATGAAATATTGCAAACTGTAAAGCTATATTGAGCATGAAAATAAAACATGGCACATGAAACTGAAGTAATGTGAATGAAACTGGAATATTGCACATGGTAATGGAGTATGAACTGAAACTGATCGAGACGCTAACACTGGAATCACATTGATGTTGTTCAGATTTAAATGTCCAATGTTTCTGCTGCTGTTCCTGCAAGAAGTGGAGAAAGTAAACATATTGATGGCCACTGGTAAAAAACGTGACTGTAAAATGACAGGAAACAGAAAGATTAGATTTTTTATTATTTTAATTATTATGACGCTATTTAACTTGATTGCAGATTGTTCCTGAGCCACATGTGACCGACCTGTTTCAATGTCAGAGCTTGTTCACGGCAAGGTCCTTTTATTTGCTTGCTAGAATTGTTTTTATTTGATTTTTTTTTGTAATATTACTATTTATTTATTATTGTTTTATTTATGTGACTTAACAGTCTTTTACATCTTTTACAAATGTAGTAAATGCATGTTTGAGGCTATTTATATGTTCAAGTTGTCATATTTGTGGTAGAATATAGAACAGGTGATATTTTGATGGTTTCTCATGTAGTAATGCTCCATCACATGTTTTAAATCAAATCCAGTAAATATTGAACTGAAGCTTTAAGAAAGTACATCACAAATCACAATGTCTGTCAGAAAAGGGAAAAAAAAGCTATTTTCCCCAAATTCTTCTGGCCGTCTGGAGAAAATAAGGTGGTTAACAGATCTAATCATAATAAAGTAATTTACCTTCCTGTTAGTTTGGGGTGTCACCTGTAGGATCAAGACTGTTTGAAAGTACACTCTTAATCTGGTTCCATATGGACTTGGCTGCAAGTTCAATTGTCATCTGAAAGGACCGCCTGCAGTGTTTTGTGATAAAAGATGATGTATTTTGTTCTTATGTGTGGTTGTTCTCTGCAGATGTCCAGCAGCTTTATGTTGTTAAAGAAGAGTTTCCCACCGAGCAGCAGGAGTGGAGCTCCACTCTGGACCAGGAAGACCCACCAGATGTCCTACAGATTAAAGAGGAACAGGAGGAACTCTGGATGTGTCAGGTGGGAGAACAAAGACTGGAGGAGTTACCAATCAGTCCTGTTCCCGTGAAAAGTGAAGATGATGAAGGTAAACCTCAGTTCTTACAACTTTGTGGAACCACAGAGTCTCCAACAAGCAGTTTGGCTCAACATGTGGGAACAGAATTTGATGGAGAAGACTTTCAAGGGTCAGAATCACATTTACAAGAGTCAGTCAAGACTTCACACTCTTCTGCATCGGAGACTGAAGACAGTGATGGTGATTGGGAGGAGTTCAGGCATCCACAGTGGGATTTAAATGTCCTAAGTAATAATGTAATCTCTTTAGATAGTTTGGGAGATGATAGTGCTATGAAATCATTCAGTTGTTCAGAATGTGGGGAACGATTTGCCCAGAAGGGGACTATGCAGAGACACAAGAAACATCACACCGGGGAGAAACCATTCAGCTGCACAATCTGTGGTAAAAAAATGACTCAGTACCATCACTTAGTTGGTCATATGAGATGCCATTCAGGAGAAAAGCCCTTCAGCTGTTCGGTTTGTCATAAAAAATTCCGATGGAGTCGAGACGTGGCATCACACGTGAGAATCCACACTGGGGAGAAACCTCACAGCTGCTCGCTGTGTGGGAGACGATTCAGGCAGCATTCGTCACTGTTCACCCACTCAAAGAGTCACAATGAAGAGAGACCACTCAGCTGCTTGGTTTGTAACAGAAGGTTTCATCTGAAGACAACTTTGGTGAATCACATGTGACCACACAGTAGAGAGAAACCTTACCGCTGCACAGTGTGTGGTAAAGGGTTCAGCCAAGTGAGAGCGCTGAACAGACATGACGGAATCCACACTGGAGAGAAACCATGCAGTTGTTGCACATGTGGGAAAAGGTTTAGACAACAGATACATGTCTCAAATCACAAATGTGTTGCTCAGCAGCTGATTAGATTTGATTTAGACATGGACATGTTGTGTGTCACTCCAGGTTTGCAAACCGTTTGTATTTAATTAGTGCTACGGCTAATAGGATTGCCTCGTTGTCTGTCGATCCTCGACTGAAACATCTCAACAGCTGCTGGATGTATTGCCATAAAATTGTCCATTTTCATGTTTCAGAGAGGGAAGAACACTTCTAGAACTGTAACAATTAGTCAGTTAATTGAAGAGTCAAGTCAGAGAAAATTATACGTTAACTGTCTCATCAATAAAATAATTATTTTTGTGTCATTTAAGGAAAAATATTCAAAATGTGCTGCTTTTTTTTGCCATATATGCTAGAAAGCTAAATTGAGTTCGTCGAAAGATGTTGCTTTGCACTTACAGAAATTACAACAAGCCTTTTTTGCTATTTTATGAACTTTTACAGACAAATCAATTAATTGGAAAATAAGCAGTCATGTAAATAAACATCAGTTGCAGCCCAAAATCCTACTGACCTTAGTGATCCCCTCACATCCCCAATAGAGCTACCAGGAGATCAAAGCTTTATTTGCACATTTTGCACAAAATTTGCTTGAGACATTCATGCTCCCCAGACGATGAGTCTTAACTTTGGTGCTCCTTCAGCGTTTCCTTTATTGCCACTGTAAGCTTCAGTATAAGTAAAATAGCTTAACAAGTGTTTGACTCGTCATGCTTTTGGTTCAGACATTCATGCTCCCATCAGGATGAACTGTCATAACTTTGACGATACTGCTCTGCTGTGCTTTGTGTTTTCTGCTAATTAGTGAATGTTAGAATGCTAACATGCCAAAATACGACAATAAATAATGTTTAAAATTGATTAACTTAAGCATATTAACACTAACTGTACATTATATTTTTGCACTTTTTTTGCATCTCTCTCTTTGTGAAGCTCTTTGACTTGGACATTTTGCAGAAACATTCTTAGATTAGTTTGGTCTGTGGATTTTGGCAACTACATTTCAAGTCCTTGTGTGAAGACGACTCATTAATTTCCATTAGCTGTAGCAACACTGAGTTTTAAATGTCTCCCTGGAGAGGAAACTGAATATGACGTCCATGTTATGGTTGTTGTTAGTCAATGATTTAAAGTCCACATGTTTTGGGAAAATGTCAGATGAGTTCTGGTTGGTTGGTTGGTTGGTCGTAAAAATGTGACTTGTGTTTTAAGAGCAGAACCTGTTTTGTGACCGCTTTTATTTATATTTCCAGAGTTGGGGATGGGAAACAAAGCTGTTTCAAACATGATGATTCGTCTAAGTTCCGTCTTGTGGGTCAGTCTTGTAGCGGCACACAACGATTTCAGAACTCTGGTAGAATGTTTAAATAAGGTTGTTTTCAAATGGCTTTAGCTGAATAATTTATAAATGCGGCTAACTCACCGGCTGCAACATTTATCAGAACAATGTTTGAGCATTTTGAAAAGCAGGAAATGAAGTTGACGGGGGATGTAGACGCCAAACAGTGGCACAAATAAAGACTCACCATGACATTTACTTTGTGGTTCACCGGGCAACGTCTGAACAGCCAAGCAACGCTAAAGGTGGCTTCTGGTTTAACAAGCAAAGGGACACTTTGGTTGATCTTGATGTCAAATCCACATTTCTTTCATCTTTACAAATGGAACAAAAGTTTCACTACTTTAAATCTCTGTTGTATACAGTCTTGAGCTTCTCTGAGGTAATGTTTCTAAGTAAAACACATTTTGACCTGCACCTGATCTGATATGATCAAATGTGAAAAGAGCAATTAAATTACTCTGTTCCTGCATCATCATAATTCAAATATCACAAATCTGAAACTGTGTTGTCAGCTGTCTTTAACCTGTTTAAGGAAAGTTATACAGACAGTTTTTGCTCTAAACAGGCTCTGATTTGGTTTAGATTTGATTTGTAAAAAGCAGAACAAAACAGCATTAAGACATGCAAGTCTTACTGCAATAAAGGTAATCTTGAACTTATATACTACTTGTATTTTATAGAATACATTAGCTAATGTATTACTCATAGAGTATAGGCCTAATGTCGATTTCGAAGTTCTTTCAGCAGTTTTCTATTTATTTCCGCTGTTTCTTTTGCTGCTCTAATGTGATTTTTTCCCCCCTTTGGGGTCATTAAGTCAATCAGTTACTTTTGATCAAACTCCTCATTTCACCTAAAAACTTTTTTGGATGAACTATATCTTGTGGTTTTCATTCATTCAGTTGTAGCAGCATAAAATATTGGATTCCGCTACTTAGAGTTAAGATTGTAATCGTAATATTGAATGATTTATTTCAGAGACTACACTCTCGACATTGAGTATACTTTGTTTTTACAGTGGTGCGTATGTTTGTTGTACAGACCACATGAGGACCACAAAGGCAACTTCTCCACACATGTGAACCCGTCTCCAACTAGACCAGTCCGGCCTGGTTCTGCAGCCCAGTATAAAATGAGCACTCTGAGGACGCTGCAGGAAGCTCGAATCGCGTCTATAAATTTTACACACTAATGGACACTGAAAACAGCTGCAGCCTAAAAATAAAAACAGTATAATGATGCAACAGCTCATAGCAACATCTCACACACACACACAGAATAAAACAGGCAGAGGCTCCTCATGAATCCAACCTTTTATTATTCCAAATGAGACGAGCCTCCATTTGGCACCTATTCACAAAAATATGATTGATTGCAGAAAATTATCATAAACCCAAAGGGCTAATAGGCAATTTGTCTCCCCGGCTGACAGGATGAGGCCGGCTCTGGCTGCTCCCTGATATCGAATGACTAACTTTAGATAATGGCTTTGGCCCAAAATGATATACAGTATTTTTGGAGATGAACTCTACAAATATTGGCAATCAATACTGTTATTAGTGTTACTGAAACCCGAGACGCCATTCATCACCGGACTCCTCCTCCTCCTCCTCCTCCTCCTGCACAACCGGGGTTCATTAGATATTTATGAGCCTAATTGCATCTGCGCTGCGTGTTGCGAGATAGCAGAGATGCACCGTCCTGCAGAAGACAGTTTTACCGTAATCATCCCACGCGCCGATTACAGTTAGTGTCGGTTCCAGGCCTCGTGGATGTGACGGGGGTTTGTGAATATCACAATGTGCTCGCGTTGTCATGCAGGAAGAAGGAGAGCGTTTCCTGAAATGATTAGTCCTCCACCAGCTGCAATTTTCTCCTCACGTTGTTGTGATTAGCTGCTGGGAACTGATGACGCCTCTCTCCCAATTAGGGGAAAGGACTTCAGCCCCCGTGTGCTGAGAGGAGGACGAACACCTCTTCTACTCGGACGAAACACAACCATTTGGAGAACAAACACGCACAGCGACACACTCCGGCTGTGATCGCTCAGCTGTTGTCACTGTGTTTGTTCATGGAAGTCCAAACTTATTCAAACCAAATTTTGATATTAAGTCAGTTTTTGTTTGACCAATTGGTTGATTTTAACTGGATTGTATGACGTTGTGTTCGAGATGTTAATAGTTTTAACAATTTCTGTGCTTTTTTTGCATGTCTAATGCCTCCACAACAACAAATCACTTCTTATAATTGCTAACAACCTCTCTGCAGGTCTCCGCTGGGACTTTGGACCACTCCTCTTTTGTCTTTGAGGCTGAAAGACTTTCTCGTCGCCGCTCTGCTCTTCTCTTCCCTCCACAGATTCTCAGTAGGATTCAGGTCTGGACTGTAAAATGCTGACATTAGTTGTTTTGTTTTAAACTGCTATCTAATACAAATCTAATCTCCTTTGGCTGAAGGTTGCAGGTCAGTGTTTTTTCTAAGTTTTTCTGCAGTCTGCTGGATATTTTCCACCAGAATCTTAATCTTTTCTCATGAGATTGTTTGACAAGGTTGGCTGGCCCATCAGCTGAGAAACGGCCCCGAAGCTTTACATCCCCACCAGCAAGTCTGACCAGGGGGATGCTCTCCTTTCTTCTACTAAAGTTCTGTCTCTGTGTTCAATCAACTCTATTTTTGTCGCTCTGAACCACAGAATTGATGACAAAAAGGCGCTCTTCTTTGTCCAGGTGAGCTTTGTGTGCCTGCCTTGAGCCCTTTTCAGGTTTGGGATATGGAACAATGCTGGCTTCATAAATCTGTTGAAGTGAAGCATTCTGTCTGTTAGACGTAGGTCACGTTTATGTTTCTAAAAGTCTGCACAGGGTGATCTGCTTTTATCGGACTGATCCATGCTCTCTTGGGAATCATTTATGATTACAATAATTTAATGAGGTTAGCAGCACTGTTGGAGTTTCCATGTTCTCCCCGTGCAGCGTGGGTTCTCTCCAGGTTCTCCGGCTTCCTCTCACAAGTCCAAAAACATGTTGAGGTTAATTGGTGATTCTAAATTGTCCGTAGGTGTGAATGTGAGTGTGCTTGGTTGTCTGTCTCTAAGTGTAGCCCTGTGATAGACTGGTGACCTGTCCAGGGTGTCTCCTGCCTTCACCCTGAGTCAGCTGGGATAGACTCCAGCCCCCCACGACCCCAGTGAGGATTCAGCGGTGTATAGATAATGGATGGATGGATGGACCAGCACTGTTCCACACACAGCAGCTCTCTCTCATGAATCCTGCTGCTGTCTGATGCTGCAGCTTTTTAATAAACTCAGAGGAAATAATCCTGAACAGCAGGAAGCAACAAACTTCAGCTCCTGTTAACATCTTGTGGGGAAAAAAAGAAACTCACATTGCAGTTAATATTGTTGATTATCATTATTGTTTAAGCTGTTTTCATCAAGATAACATTTTATTCATTTTGTAGCCTGATGGATGTGAAACTGAAGATCAAAGTGAGTGAGAACGGTAAGTTGTGATTTTGGTTCACAAACTGTTATTAAGCACTTGCTGTATATGTTTTTGGACGATTATTAGTCCTGACATGTGGATAAAGTCTTCACTGGGCTGGATTACATGAATTATAGGTTTTACATGCACTTTAATCGCAACTCGCTTTAAACTTTATTAACCATGAAGAAGCATAACTTCAGCAACTATTTCAGATTTGTAATCACGTTAGGGTTACATAAAGAAGCTTATTATATTGTATATGAGCGCTCATGTACTCCTGCATAAGAACAGAATTAACCAAAAATGTGTATTTGGTCCAAGTGACATTGAGCCACTTATATGTGAGTAATCAGGTAGAGGATGTGGCTGTAGGTGAAACATTACTCAGAATTTGGTTCACTTTTTAATATCCATGCTGATATTTTCTGCATCTTCTGCCTGCACACAGATTTTAACCACTTCCAAAAACATGGACCAGATAAAGCTCAACCTTGTGCCATAAACTGCTCTGTGTGACTTTGTACAATACTTTTTTGTTCTCTGGAGTCCACACACATAAATCAGCTGTTTTATTGCAGCTCATTGTTCAAAATGAAAGTAAAAACCGGAGCTGCGCAGCGCCCCCTAGTGATGGAACAACTCGCCGTCGCCACGTTCAGTTCTGAAGATTTTAAATGTCTACAAACTGAAACAACAATCCACCTCTCACCTTCTGCTCATCTCCTCCTCGCTCTGCGTCCTGTTGGCTTTGGTTCACCTCCTTCAACTCACGGTTCACTCTCAAGGTGAGTCTGCAAAACCTCCATGCGTCATTTGGGGCAAACGAGCAATAAAAATGAACCGAAATCGTGTCTTTTAAAGTGAACGTTTGTGTTTGGAGAGATGCTTTAAGTAAACAAAATGCGTAAAAACATAGATTCTTGTGCAAAGCTGCATTAAATTGCGCAGTTTGTGTGCTACAAATCGCATTGGTGCCATTATTAAGTGTTGTTTTGGTGTTTTTTGTTGGTCATTTTTGACTTTACATAAAGCAAAATGCAAATTATGTGTTATCTGTCTGTCTCCAAGGGAAAGTATGGATTGTGATGGAAACCTGCCTCATTCTTCTCAGTGTCCAGCCACATCAGCAAAGGTTAGGAGCTGTAATTTATACACAAGTCAGAAAATGTTGGATAATATAATTAGAGAAAAATCTGATTGTCATAAAAATAACCACTTAAGTTAATAAATTCCTCAACCTGGCTGGAAATAAATGATATTTTCCACCTTTTCTGCCCCATATTGCTCAATTTTATGTCAAAATAAGCAGATTTTGATGTGCCGTCTCCTGAGTGACACCTGAACGCACCATCTAGACTTCATAGCTGTAATTTTAAATGAATAAAACCCCAAAAACTGGCTTTTTATCCATTAAAAAGTTGCTGTTATGTGCTGTTATGATGTGGTTTCCACAGGTCAGGAGAAACATGGAGGCGAAACACGAGGAGTCCGGCAGAGAGAAGGTCGAGTGGATGTTGGGGCTGAAAACATCGAGGCCCAGAATGTCCATCGAGCTTTCTTCTTCTGTGTGTGGAGACGATGGATGCGTGTAAGTGGCACACGGTGATGAAGGTTAAAAAAAAGGCTTCAGCTCAGTGTAGTAACTGTATTATTTCACCATCACAGCGATGAAGAACACGACGGCAGGAGTCACAACCCGGTTTACGCACATGTGGAGGCACCACAAAAGGACCTCCAGTGTGCAGAGGACAAAGGCGAGTCCACTCATCTAATAACCTCACTTGTTTTGATTTGACGTGCCTTTCTGACTCTCCATCATCGCCGCTCTCTGTCTTTTCAGCAGCCACCGCCGCGGCACACACTCAGATGGCGAACACAAAGCCCAAGGCCGGGGCGCTGGTGAGTCACAGTCATACCGCCGCCTGTGAATGAAGCCAACGTTCATTCAGCTTTAAAATAAAAAATTAAAAAAAGGCTTTTAGTTGACGTCATCCGTCTTAATCACTCAATTATAGCAATTTCTACAAGGTGAGTGTACTTTTGTCTTCACGGCTTTTTCTGCCTCCAGGTAGCATGCAGGCAGCTGATTGATGGCAACGAGGCGGCCTCTCTCGGGGACCAATGTGAGATCATTCACTTGCTGTTAGTCATTCATTCTCACTCATTTTGTGCTTGAAAATATCTGAATCATACTGCTTGTGTGATGGTGTGTTCACAATGCAAGAGATGTAAGAAAGCAAAGATAAAATACTGCAAGAAAGAGGCCTCAGAAGATGAGAAAACAAGTACGACATGAGCGGCTAAGTGCACCAAATAAGTTACTGAACAGCCCTGAGATTCAACTTTTCTTTACACTTTTTTTTCTGCTCAACTCTCTCTGATTTGCCTGAAATTTTTCTAGCATCAAATATGAATATTTGTAAAGATATCTGTGGATTTCTACTCTGATATCTCAAATATTGTCCGAGATTTTAAAGAAATTGTCAGTTGACCCACCTTTAGGATGTTTTTTTGCGTATTCATATTTATGTGTTTGAATGACGATATCTCAGGAACCTTTAAAGATAAAAGCCTGAAATTTTCACTGTTGTTTCTCATCCTGTCATTGATTCAGACTCTGCAGTATTGGACAAATAGATCAAATAGTCTGTGATTATGGGTGACTAGTTTGAAGGCATGATAAACGGTCCATCTTTAAGCACATATTAACAAAAACATCATGTGGCAGACGTCAGCTAGTGATATTTTCTGAACCATATGTAGGTTCATGTCACAAAAATACAAAATAAAATATATAGAATACTTTTTTAATATGAAATAGTCCCGAAATTAAAAACAAAAATTAGCCTAATTTAAGTTGAGCAGAGTGCTGGTGTTTTGCAATGGTTCTCCAAATATAACTCAGAAAAATAATACGTCAAAACAAGCATATGATATAGTTTTTAATCACTTTGATGTCACATATTACAGATTCTGAATTAATGGCATGCCATCTTTACATTTCAGTGTGCAAAAAAAATTGCTAAAAGTGGATCAGCAGACAATTAAAACTGAAACAAAACAAAAAGTTCTCGGCAAGTATTTGATGTATCAATCTAAAATTTTACAGATACCATACCCATAGTTAATAATTAAAAAAAAAAAAAAGAAGTTTTAAGCAAATCAAAGCTGGTGTCAGGATCTCCACTGACTGGGGGAAAAGGATCAGAGTGAATACAGCTTGACTCAACTGAGCTAATTTATCTGTTTGCTCTGAATCCACCCAACAGGCATCACATAGGCTTTTTTATTTAACAGACGTTCATGTGCAAAATCAGCCAACTTCTGATACTTGTGCTAATTATTAAGCATGAGAAACATCTTTTTAAATATGCTATAGATGTACGATGATATCCCCATCCTCATCAATATTGGCTAATAAAGCCTTTTAAATTAAATATCAGCACCAGTCCAGAATAAACACTGACAGGAAGATAACACCTGCCAGGTTACAACGTCACTGTTTTGTTTGAACATGCTACATAAAAATAAACCGAAGTGTCTTATTTTGCCCAGCGAACATTGAAAAAAGTGTATTTTATGTTTGCGCCTGCCACATCGGAAAGAGTAGGCACAATAATACATTAATTCCAGTACAGGAATGCTGGTGCTCTCTGCAGTTAGATGGAAAAAACATGTGCATATATTGTAATTGGCCAAAATGAGTGAGAAAATATTGGTGTATTGGATAACAGCAAAAACCCAAAATCATGCTTCCCTTGTATGGGTAAAGGTTTGAGGAGGTCGTGCATATCAGTTGTCTGTTTACTGATTTGTGATGTTCAGAAAAAAGTTGTGCAAGAGCCAAGCGAAGGTCTTTCCAGAGGAGTGGAGGGCGTTAGAGCAGCAGGTTAATGCTCACAGGGGTGTGATCTTGGAGTGTCCACATACTTTTGAACACTGAGAATGCAAAACAAGCAAATGGTTCAACAGTTGTCAAGTTAATTTTATTTATAAAGGACATTTAAAACAGCAAGAGTTGAACCGAAATGCTGAATAATTATAGAAAGCAACCCACAAGACATAAACACAATGACTTTAAAGGCAAATTGGATTAAAAACACAACAAAATAAAGGGAAAAAATACACTAAAATAAAAGATGAAGCCGGAGGGTTCAACCTCGAGGTGGCTGAAACATTTGTAATATCTCAGCAGTTCTTCCCTGAAGAGTCAAACTGTTCCACGGATTGGGCTCTAAAGTTGTTGATTTACATAAGAACATACAGACACACGTGTGCATGAGTTCAGAAAAGAATCTTCCCACCAGATCCACTCAGTAGATGATCACTGGATGTGTTCGAATGTTCACTTCTTACTGCATTTCAGAGGACAATCATGTAATACCGACGCTCAGAGGCTCTGTACGCCGAGTGAAACACGGAAATAACAATAAAATCAAACACATTTAATTACTTTTAATGTCCTATTTGCTCTGTGTTTAATCCAAAGATGTTTACGAGAGCAGAGATGGAACCAAATCCACATTACAGACACACTGAATTAGTTATATCACCAGGCTGAGGCTACTTAATCACCATGACAATGCAACCCCTCCGCACTCCACACCTCCACTCCTGGGAAGCCTGGGGGAAGCTGTGCATGAGAATATCGTGTGTTTGCAGTCCTGAAAGGGAATGTGAGTCAGCCTGATAGTACAACTTATTGTGAGTGGGCTTTACTACAGTGGGAGCTAAATAGATAACTCTCACAGAAAAAGGCTTCAGTGGAGGAGACTGTCTGGCTCACGGAACACATTTATTGATTTATTTTCTGGGACTTCAATCGAGCCATGAAATAATGTCAGCGGAGAGGAATTTAGATTCGAGTCATGTATTTAAGACGGTTAAAAACTTAGATTTGCTGACATGAAGACAAAGGGAGAAAGAATCGTATAACACAAATGTGAAACGAACGATTCATGGATCTAATATAACGCTGCAGTTTGATTGTCGCCAAAGTTAACAGATTCATATTTCTATGGTTGTGTCATTCTTGCACAATATTCAATTTACAATGTCATAAAAAGCTACCAAAGCAGCAAATCATGGGAATATTTGGCTCTTTTGCTCAATTTTTCCATTGATTGTTTATCTTCTGATTGACTATTTCAGCTCTAGATGTGATGCAAGCACACATGAGCAGAAATCTAACGCCATAAAAACATCAGTTTCACGCTTGTTCTTCTGTTTTCAGCAGCACTGACGCCGAAGGGAGCTATAAGTTTGGCAAACGTCGACCCCGAAAGGAACTCCTCAGCGCTTCAAGCAGCCGTTGCGGTAAGTTTTGCAGCAAATTCCTGCCATATTTTGTTCCTCTCATGACGGATAATACTGGACATTTTCCATATTTTCTGTCAAATTCCATAAAAAGGCCAAAACAGACAAGCTTCTGTCTCTCAGGAATCTTTTCCCAGCCTCAAAACTGGACCAACTGAACATGTAAATTTTTAAAAATATGCAGTTTCAGTTTTGAAAATACCAAATAACTTAATAAAACTGTTTAGCAGTGTTAGTTTTAGCAAATGGAACTGAAAAAAAAACCTGTGCAATTATCAGGGACTATTTTTATCACTACATTTAGTGATTTAGTGAGTTTATCTGGTGCCAGGATGCAGCATGTGTGTGACCCATGATCAGCTACAGTGTGTGTCATTTATGTCATTTACTGCAGCTTTATGACGAAGAGGAATAAGATATGCACTTGCAATAGGGTCAGTTAATTGGTTTTGGGGTTGTTTTTTTTTTTATAGGATTTATTGACAAGGAGAAAACAACACACCAGACTCCTCCTTTAACGGTTACCTTTATCCCCACATCTGAGCCAAACTCCACCCACTGCTTAGTTTTAAAAAAAATTCTAAAAAGTGTTCCTTCAAGAGGGTATTAGCATGATGGAGCACCACGGTAGTCCCAAGATGTATATCTTTGAGCTGAGGGAGCATTAAAATTCCTTTTTTGAGTATAAATTTCTTTGAATTGAACAAGTTTCTTACAAGTACTTTGTAGTCTAAGTGCATGATAGACTCTTTTAAAGTGTCTGTTGAGCGCCTACTGGAAAACCTGATGGCGAGGCTGGTTAATGATCAAAATATGGCCTGCTTTAATTTAGCAATTAGGAAAACATCCATACAGGATTTTCTTTCTCTACATGCTGCTGCCTGGACTCTGGCATCGCAGCTGTCTACATTTTGCATCCAACTTTGTCCCGTACACATCAGTGATCGGGTTTCTTGGCCTTCATTGAGCCTAAAGAAACAGCACAACAAGTATTTTCTTTTATTTATTTACAAAGCCGTGCTGGGTACAGTCACTTCTTAGTTGTGTAATTTTCCATCACTTACCAACAGATGATCTGATTCTCGCTCATCTAGAAGAGCCAAGATTTTATTTCAACTTGGTAGAACAGCCTTCCTCCTGTTTTGGTCCTGGATGAAACCTTCAGAACACACTACGGCTGACTGGTTTCGTCTCCATGCAAGACTGTGATTGCCATTCCTAAATGTTTTCTGTATCTTAATACCTCGGTTGGTTTAATGTTGCTGTGAATTTGTTCCATTTAGTTTGCTGTCATGCTTGATTTTATAATCTTTTATAACTTTAGAATAGTTTACCTTCTTGGCCAGGTCTAATTAAAAAGAGATTTTAATCTGAAGGGACTTCTTGGTTTAATAAATAAAATTAAATGACATATACTATATAATATAGTCACCAGGAGTTGACTCTATGTCAGCATTGGCCTTGCAAGGTTTAAACAGTAGACGGCGCATTTTTTTTTGTTTTTTTTTTTAAACCCATGACAGACAGATTTCTACAAATTTAGAAAGAAATGTCAACATTAAAATAGTTATTGGTGTGTTTCCTTACAGTGCAGTCAAATAATTTAGCTTATAGCTCAAAGAGAGCAGTATTGTGCAGTATCCCTTTAAATGAAATGTAAAACTGTAGTTAGTGAAGGAGACCACCAGGTGGCAGCATTGTTCCATATTTAGCAGTGATGTTACACAGCAACAGGTTCACAGACTGGAAGGCATCAAACATGAATGAAGACACTGAACTTGTGCACGTGTCCTCTTCTGCACACTAAAACCTGGAAAAAAGGTCAAGATGCTCATTTTATTTCTTTTCCAGGATAGCAGAACTCAGTACTACATGGACCTTTGCAAGCAGGTTGAGGAGAGAAAGCAACAGACTGAATGGGAAAGAAGACAAAAGGCTGCCGACGAACAAAAAGTTAGTCATTCTATCACGAGAATGATATTTATAGATTAATGCAACTCTTATATATGTCGTGTTTTTCGTTGTTTTAAGAGCCAAATAATCACACTTTTGATTAAAACTGTATGAATGTGTGGATTTTATATTGTGTGTTCACAATTCTGCTTCCATCTGCAGCACTTTGAGACCATGCAAAGGTCAATCTGGGGGATGCCAGGGAGTGGTGCCCCAAACTACCACCAGGGCTCCACAAGAAGGACCAACAGCCTTTTCATCGCAGGGATTTTACCACAAGAGCAGGTAAACAAAGCACCGTTTATTAGCCGCTCATTGTTCTGCGCAACAAAAGCCCACAGTGTGCTCAGAAGGTCTCCTGATCACCCTGAGCTCAAAGAATTCAGTCTGCGGCCTCGTCCTTTGCAGATATCTGATAAAAGTAAGGCTGAAGCAAAAATGTAGGTTAAATTAAGCTTTAATCTAAGTCAGAAAGAGAACGGATAGCAGCAAGAAAACAGGTCAAGTGTAAGTCAGTGCAGTAGCCGTCCTTCACTGCGACAACATGTAGAAATAGAGATAAAAATGTTCCTCCAGAGACCACAGATAACTTTGTGTTTCATTACTTTTTGTTGAAACAGGAGCTTTCATTGAGGCCCGAGTCAATACATGAGACCGTTTCTGCCTCCTGCAGTGTTTTCGAAAGTAAAACTCCGTTCTGACCTCCTTTTCCACACATTGCATTGGTCTTGCAGCAGCTGAAACACAACCCCGTGTGTGATGATTAACAGTAGGAGCTGGTCAGACTCGAAACAAGATGTGTTTTGAGGTCATAACATGAGTCTGGGTCCGGTGCCAGCATGACATTACAGCCTGGAGCTTCTGAATGCCGCCTTTGTTTCCTCCCCCAGGTCCGTGATAAAGGCTTCAGCGGGACCCCCTTCCACTGCCTGTGAAATGAGGAACATGACACCCCCCCCTAAAAAACTCAGGCAAACAGCACTCTGTGACTTCTTACTCTTCAAGCGGTGTTGGTTTTGTAGACGTCGAGATGTTTGGGCTGTTTCAGCAGCAAATTCTGATGTGAAGAATAAAAAAAAGCAGATATTATAGACGTGTTAGGAATGCAAAAACAAGTGAGGCTTCTGTTTTCAGCTGCTATAGCATGAACAGGTGCCTGCAGCAGCAACATTATCTACTTTACATACCACGATTGGACTCATGGCCTTCTCTGGTTCTGTAATAAATGACAAGAATTATGCATTTTTTTAACCACAAGATTTTGAAAAGTTTAACCAAATTTCCTTCACCTGTACTTTTCCTGTTAAGTCCATATTTAAAACTATCTTTAAACCTTTAGAAACACTGATTACGGGGGAGTTTCATTGCTAAACAATGACTAACACATCAGGAGCAGTGTTAGTGGGTCTGTCTCTGATCAAGAGCACTCTGATGCCACAACAGCCATATAAATGGAATAATAATGTGAAAGCCCCAGAGTTTCTATCCTATATATATACTTTGGACCTGTCAATTCAAAGACAGGTGGATTAACAGAATACCTTTGAATTTCTGCAAGACTGGCTATTTTGGGCCAAACTGCTAAATTTCAGGACTTCTATAAAAATGAAAAAAATGGTGGATTGTTTTGCTTTTTACCAGTGTTGGTAGTAAATTAGTGTAATTTTGTTATATTTGCCTGTAATGTAACGCATTGTAGTTCCTAAATTTAGTAATCTAAATTTGCCAATTGCAAGTGCCCCTTTGATTCTGATGACTTTATTTACATAGCACCTTTAAGAACAATGTTCATAAGGTGCTTTGACAGTGAAGACATGCAACACAAAGACAATCAAGGAAGACTTAAGAATTAAAGAATTAGAAACGACATCACACCAAAGATCTTAGTTGCTAAAAGTTAAGAAATAAAAGCAAAAGAAAACATGTGAAAGCGCTCTTTGGGGTGGTTTATCCCGACTTTGCTGTTGCCTTTGTGGTAATGCTTCATTAAAGAACAAAACAGAACATGTCTGTCCACGAATGTCCTCCTTAGGATAGGGATTAGTGTAAAATGTAGGGTAAGGTAAGGTTTAATATTATATTGTTAACTGGCAATTACTTGACACATTACTTAAAAAAAAATAATCATGTCAACATTGGTTTTCACGACAGCTAGATGGTGGTAGGGTTAGGGTTAGTCAGTGGAGTGAGTGAGAGGTATTTTCCATCAAATAAACTTAATCCATATATTAAAGGTGGATGAACCCTCAGTGACGTCTCCCATAGGTTTCCTGAAGAGTGATTTTAAGCTCAGTATTGTGGTCTCCATCTTGGCAGTACCTGACTCCTCCTAACTAATCCAAAAATGGGCAAAGAGGCTGAGCTTGAGTAGAGCTGAGATGGGTCATGCACCTAATTAAACACAACCTTTCTGCCTTAATGCAAAATAAACAAGTGAGCTATTTAAAATTTCTCCCACCCTACAGTTTTCATGAATGGAGAAATTAGCTATAGAGACAAAAACCCTTTTATGTACCAGGCTGTAAACATGTTTTTTTTTTTCTACTATAAAGTTTTGCATTTTATCATGAGGCTCTATGGGCACTGACTCACTTTTGGAACCAGCCTCCAGTGGCCATTGGAGGAACTGCAGCTTCTATACCTTCATAGGCTTCCTTTCTTTTTTAGCTCTGGAGATTTTCCCTTTGGCTTCAGCAGTGTGTGTTTACATGGGGCGTTTTTGTTGCTTGGCCATCTGTAACTCAGAGGTCATTTGAGCAATCCAGTGTAACCACGAAAGGCAGAAAATATGCAAGTTTTTGTGTCTCTTTGCTGCCTTTCCAAATTTTAGATGGAGTTTTTTTAGGGGAGCATTCCAAGTCAAATTGCATGTAAGGAGTCAAGCATAGTTCTGCCAAATCAGCCTGTTAGCATCGTTACAGCCCATTTAGTAACACCTTATGTATCAAGTGTAAAAACCTTTAGACAGAGCCAATCTATGTCCACCTGTGTCTGGTCTTCACGCTAAGTCAAGCAAACTGGATGCTTAGTATTGCTTCTTATAGGATGAGAGTGATGTATACTTTATCTGTCTAAATCTCAGAAAAAAAAAAATCCCCATTCCCTTGAGGCCTCACTTTTTAAATCTCATTCAAGTCACAAGCCTCCAGCTCTGACAATGGGAGGAGCTGGGAATCACATCTTAAACCAACAGATTACATACAAGAGAACTTTTTCACTGCATGACTGAGATCTGAGGCTGAAATAGAAGTTTCAAAAGTGAGTAAGAAATCAAAGTTTGTTGAGCACTGGCACTGCAAATGACTGATCCAAGTGAGCTTGCAAAGTGTGACACATACCAGCCTACAGACACCACTTAAAATGTCACTCCTCATGTACCTACTGATAAAAAAAGAAACCCTTGCTGGTGAAGCTTGTTGTCAGTGTAAATGACTCACATCCAGCTCATTATAGTGTTTTACATTGTATTGGATGAATAACCAGCCGAAACACTTTCTTTTTTGGTTCTAAATGTTCCCCTGATTGGCATTCCAGGTAATCATGAGATAATTCTACGTTGAAGGGAGATGAGTCATTCCCTCTAATTGCACGGCTTTGTAAGTGTGACGATATCTTCAGCGGAACAGTTTACGCAGTAGTTTTCGTCGGGTGAAGACCTTATTGTGGAGGGAAGCAGCAGCAGCTCACAGCCTCGGTGTCATTATGATGTAGGGACAGTTATAAGGGACAGTGAGATACCAGTGGTTAAATATATATAATAAATGGTAATTATACTGCAGAAGACTAAAATCTTAAGTGCATTATGGTTCATGCAAACATTCTGCACTAACAGCAGAGAAACTTTTTAACAAGTCAGAACTTTTTTTAGTGCATTAAGGTCAGTTAAATTGATGAAACAGGAGTATAAGAACTGTGTAATCAGTTTAAAAAGTATGCAACTTATTGCTTCTTTTACATCGTGTTTTGCACTAGAAGCACATTTTTAACAAGGAAACATGACATTAACAAACTGAAACTTTTGCTTGGATTTCCTTAAACAGAGCGCCATAAGGTGATTTATTTAATCTTTCTTGTCCAATTCAATTTAGTTTCCGTGGCCCCTGTGATAGCAGAGCCCCGAGGCTCCATGTTTCCAGGCTGTCCCACCATCTGTATGTCCCATTTTCTTCAGCGTGGTATCTCTAGAACACCTTGAGGCGTTTTATTAAAATTTGGCACAAACATCCTCTCGGACTCCACTGATTAGAGTTTGGTGGTCAAATTTCTCTGTGACCTCACAAGACGTCATTATCGTCTGTTTCCCCTCAAGCAAAGTGAAGCCTTATAGTCAAAAACAGGGTTTTTTTTTTTTACATTTTAGGAGAAGTATGATTGGTGAGGATATTGCGACAGAGTCAGTTTATCACCAGCATGTTGTTTCTGTACAAGTCACATTCACCTTTGAACTGCTACTTGGCTCGAAGTTGAGATTAAAATAGTACTTTTCTTTCCTCACTAGTTAAGCTTAAATAAATAGATTTAAACGTTAAAGCAGCCACATGTCTTAATGTTACAGAAAACGACATGGATGTGAGTATTAATGTGTATGCAGTCTGATTAAGATGATTGACATAATTATACTTAATTAATATATATATTTATTATAATTATGTGTATATATCAGAGTTAATCTGGAGCTACTCATGAAGAAAGATTTATCAATTTGTAGCTTACTGCTAACCATTACCTAATGTTTCTCTAATGAAGGATGAACTGGTATAAGTTTCTCCATTTAAGAACATTTTTTTGTTAAAATGTACATATTTTGAATATCCGTTGATCTACACAAGAGGTATGTTTAAGTAAAGGCATTTAGAGGGTAATTAAATCACAATGAACTACAACTTTTTTATTATAAAACTATTGTGAAACTAAAGTAACCGTTAAAAAAGTTTGTATCTGTATATTCTTATTTAAAAACCACTCATGCTCATTTGGTGTTGTCAGACTATTACGTTAGGAGCTCTTCACACTTCATGTACATACCTTTTTTAAAATCCATCTTTGCGCTGGGTACCTATTTATTTATCTTATTTTTATTTCATATTGTATATTTAGTTTTATATTTTGTGTGTGCCTTCAGTGTCGGGTGTCTTGTGTGGTTGTCTGTGTTTTTTTAATGTTGCTGCTGTAACAAGTAATTTCCTATAAAAGGATCAATAAAGTAACCATAAAGTACAAAGAACCACTTCTTTTGATTTCCTCAATCCAGTAAATGGACAAATTAAAGTGTCGTAAAATGATTGATAGCTAAGATGAGTAAAGCCACAATCAGCCAAGAAAAAGGCGTCTTACCCTAATTTAGCCTCGTATCTCCTCATAGCTTCTCTGACTAATAGTCATTATCTACCATACAGCCCTGGATTAGTTATTAAGTAAACCGCTGATGAACGCTCCTCAGGAATCAGGTTGCTCTTTAGTAAAAACACATATTGATGTCTACCATATAGTAAAGTGTTACCACTGACAATAATTTATGACACATTCCCAGATCACATTCTGAATTTTTTTTAGGAAGGGATTGGTTTAGCTACTGAAATGTTTTCATTGATAAAACATATAATATCAAGTCAATTAAAATCACAGTTTTGTATGTGGCACATTAAAGACAAGCTGTTACCAAAGTACTGCAAAAATAAATAAATAAATGAATGAATTAGTAAAATGTTTATCGATATCAAATTAATCTAACTTGTTAAAATATCAGGGTTAATATTCTACTGTGTTATTTATAGTGGGATTATATTTAAGTAGTTTATATATTAGGGATTAAAACCCTTAATAAATTATATAGAATGCTACTTTACCTGAGTATGATAAATAGTAAGGCTGAGACCCTAAAATGTTACTATTTATGGCGAATAACGAATGCAATATAATAGCCAAAATGGAAAAGTGGAAACAAAAAGAAGAAGAAATATAATAATAATTAATTTATTATTATTTTTTAAAATTCTTCTATTGATTTATTTATTCTTTTTTTTCTTTCCACTTTTTTTTTTTTTTTTAATTCTTTTATTGATTCATTTTTGTAATTTGGCACTCTCACTTCTCCAAACTAGTAACCAAAATAAAAATAATATTAATAGAAAAAAGAATATTTTTTCTTACTTTCTTTTTGTGTGGGTGTGTGGTTCTATTAATGTTATGTACTAGTATTAATATCAGTATCAGACCCAGACTATATTCCGTGTGTCTTTGATCGTGCCTGGAGCTGATCTTTACGTGACCCCGTGATAAACTCGCTCACACTGAGCTGCGTGGCGCGTCCGTGGATGTAAACGGTTAACCGGACGGTGCAGCGGTCCGTGGTGACGTCACTCTCCGGTTCCTTCTTTCTGTGGGCCGCAGTTTGTTGAGGAGAAGAAGAAGAGAGAAAAAAATCCACCAAATCCACACCGCAGCCTTCACCCACAGATCACCTGCTGCCGCCGGACAAACGCTGCTGAAATGGGAAACTGTCAAGTAGGTGCAAAATGTCCTTTCTCCTCTCTGTCAGAAGACATTAAATAAAAAATCTCAAGAATCAGCAGTTTGGGGTTCAGTCGAAGTGTGAGACGCAGTTTCGGATTCGTTATGATCCTTACAATCGCCACGATTAACAAAGAAATCATGTCGACACAGGAATTTATTGTCAATAACATGTAATTTCTACTGTTTTTTTTTCCATAACGCGAGCGACCTGCTCGTCTTTAAGCTTTACGCACGGCTCGTTCAGTCGCTTAAAACCTCTACCATCGCGACTACACTGATTCAATGAAGAGTTGTGGATTCAGATTTATAAAAAGTGATGTTTCTTTAAGCGTTAGATGAGATGTAAACGTTGCAAATGACACCGTGCGACGGACGCCGTGTCTGGCTTTACGCAGAGGAACCGGCCACTCCCCTGCGGAATTCACCACGGCTCCGTTAGATGGAGAATGAATGAGTGGAGCTCTGCTGTGTTCATGGGGGAGGGTGTCCATTTCTTGTTAGTTTTCTGTCTTTTTTGGACACATTTTTTCTTTAATTGTATACCTAAAACGATTAAAGGCACTCAAAAAGACGTTCACTCACTACAAGATCTTTATCTTTTATCATGTTGTCACTTACAATAGCAAAGTAATTTCTGAAAATGTGCTTTAAAGTTTACATAACTTCCATTTTCATCCAGAGAATGAATAAAAAAGTGCAGCCCCAGCCAAAATAGAAAGATTACATCACAAAATAAGCAAGTTTCTGTGAGTCAGCTCCACTTTCTTCTCATTTTGGTAAAGAAAAGTGGCGTTTAACTTTTCTCTGCTGCCTTTGGATGATATATTTCTACCCTCTGAAGCTCCCCCTCACTCTGCTTTTCATCCCTGCGCCGCACTATAGGAGCTGCCGGCATTCAAGCGGCCCCCACCAAGTTTGTTTAAAGACTTCTGGCCTTGAATTCCTCAACCAGAGCTTTGTAGCGTCCCCCCTCCCCCAGCAGCCAGCTGCTCCTGCATGCCGCCATGAATCCCAGCTGATTAGTTTGATATAATCACTGTGTGCTCCATGATAATTATGTGTTTTCTTTTATTTCTCAGCCCACAATTTTTCCCTATGAGGAGTTTGATGTCGTGGCAGACATCAAGGCCATCCGGAAAGCCTGCAAAGGGTTCGGTAGGTTGGCCATGTTATGAGAAAATAATAGTTTTGTTGGATCCCTGAGCTTTAAAATGAAGCGCTTATCATCATTCTGTTTTGTTTTGTCTTCTTTTCAGGGACAGACGAGCAGGCCATCATCGACATCCTGGCCAACCGCAGCTGGGTTCAGCGTCAGGAAATTAAACAGGCCTATTTTGACAAGTACGACGACGTGAGTGCCGTTCAGCCTAATTTGAACCACATCTCTGGTGAGCGTCTTTCTCCTTCCTGATTAAACCCTGCGCCTGTGCGACAGGAGCTGGTGGATGTGTTGAAGAGCGAGCTGTCGGGGAACTTTGAGAACGCCATCCTCGCCATGCTGGACCCGCCCGTCATCTACGCTGTGAAGGAGCTGAGGAAGGCCATGAAGGGAGCCGGCACTGATGAGGACGTCCTGGTGGAGATCCTCTGCACCGCCACCAACGCTGTAAGCTGCAAATACACATTTATGTATATTTCTTGAGTATAATGCAATGAAATCTTGCTCTACTGTAAACTGCATGTTGACCTCTGCACCGTAAAATACTGCACATATGTATTCTGTAAACAGGTTAACCATGACTCAGTAACTAAGAACTTCACCGCACCGATAACTTGTTACTGCTGCATATGACAAGAAAAGCCTTTGAAAAAAAACACCACCACTTTATGTAATACACCTATGAAATCTAATGCAACCCAACACGACCGCTCTGCCGTAAATTTTTCTTTTATGAAGCTTCTACCTTTACATTTTTCATTGATGTTGATCATTTTACTTTATGTCTACTTTATGGTGGTGTACTGGACTGCATTAGATTTTAAAGTGTTCCTAATATATTCCCATGTAGGTTGAACAAGCGGACAAAATATTAAGGACACTTTTAAATATAATGCAGAACAGCGATCGCCCACCATGTTCTCTGACCTCTATAATAAATATAAAGTAGAATTATCACCTTCATGACAGCTTCAACAAAATGTGAACCTACAGAAGTGTCATAAAAGTAGAATTTATGGCAGAGCTGTTGTATTAGATTGCATTAGAGTTCATTATGCATGATGAATATTTTCAATATCAATAAACAATACCTATATTTTCCAACATATTTTAGAATGTACGCAGTATCAGTGTTTTCTACTCACAAAGGATTCTGTCCTGTGCAGAATCAGTAATTTCCTAAATATAGAATAAGTCTGTTACTTTACCCACTTAGTGGAATCTGAACAAAATCTCAATTTCTAAATATTGAGGAAGAAGCTGTAAAATATCAACAGTACTTGTGTAGAATTTTTGCCTTTTTAAAATAATTTTTTTGGCTGATTTTCCTACATTTTTGCACTATCCCTTTACTGCTACATGGCACATTTCCCCACTGTGGATATAATAAAGACCAAATAAGTATGTTAGAGGTCGAGCAAATATGTTTATTTTTTCAGGGTCAGTATGATTATTAGTGATCAAGGAGACAGATAACTGATCTATTTGCTGTAAAAATGAAAAGCTTGGACTAAATATTTCGGAAAAAAAAATCAACACAAAAAATTGTAGACGTACCTTTGTTTATTTAAGTTGTACACACTTAATTCAAACTGAATTTCTAGATATATATAATTTAATGATATTTAAAGGCCACAGGGGGCAACATCAGAACCAAAGTAGAACATTTTTGGATGAATTCAATTTAATAAAAGACGACAATCGGCATAATACTGACTATTGGATATGATCGTTGGCCAGACTGATAATCGGTTGAACTTTAACATACTTATCAACCATCTGAGAGCCATTGTGCTCAAAAGATTTGATCAGAAGTGTAGTAAATGTTAGTTTTTGATGTTAAGATGTCTGACTTTCTGCTTGTTTTTAACAGGACATTGCCTTGTTCAAGGAATGCTACTTTCAAGGTAAGACACTAAACAAATGAAGCTGTCAAAAAAGTTGTTTTTATCTCACTATTCAGGACTATTTGTAGTGCAAAGAGACATATTTGTAGCTGTGTAACCTCTCGCCCTCTTAACTTACAACATATAACCGTCTTCCTTCCCTGTTATGAGCCCGGTCATGGAGGAAACTACTAAGGGTGACTCATTTGGGCCGACGTACACCTCATACTGAACTATTTCTGACCCTAAAAACATAATCGGTCACGCTTTGTTTAGTCAAGGCCCATCCTGCTGCAACTTCCTGCCCACTGTGATACCAGCGCTGATAGCTAATTATATTTTTACAACATATGCCAATGTGCTTCATTACTCTGTGGTTTGTTAATCACCAAGATTGCGACACAAGATTCTCCACTGTTTTAATAAAGTGTGGAAGAAATGGCATAAATCTTTAAAATAGATTCTAAACATAAGCGTTTCTCATTGTCACTTTAAAAGAATGTATTATGTACAAAGAGACTGTAATCCCAATATGATTGTTCGTGATTGTGAGCAGGAGTTGTTTGCTTAGTTAGCGTGGCATTAGCTGACAATATTAGCTGCTCGTGTTATAAACATGAGCGCAGGCTTTGCAGATGCAGCTGGATATCAATTTTCAGCTTTACATGGCAGCCTGATGGTATTTGCAGGGCTGACTGCTCATGTCCTCAGTATATATACTTTAAAAAGTCATTTATCATAATACTGCAGCCCACACAACTTGTGCAACATTTGCTCATCATTACGATTGCATGTATTTATGACTAATAAGTAATTTATTAATGCTTAATAGATGAGTAATGAAGAACAATCCCTGAATACGTCAGCCAGTTTGCATTGATGTGTCTCCATCTTTGGCATGCTTTGTCTTTCTATAAAGCAATATTAAAAGTTTGGTATGAGCTTATAGTATGTCTAAATACTGAGATTTTTTCAGAATTCCTTCATTTTTTGAAGGTTACAGGTGCTAAATCACCCCAATATGCTTTGATATACTGTATGTGTTGCGTTTTGGGGTATTTTTTGTTATTACTGAGGATAATCTCATCATTTAATGTCAAACAGTTGATTCATTGTGTTGCTAGAAGCAGGTTTTACAGATAGAACTCTATTGTTATTACAGTAAACAGACATTGTTGTACCTCCTGTTAACACATATCTTTCACTGCTGACACTTTTGTTGGTGGCATGAAGTTGCTCTGTCTGTTTTTGTTGTAGATAACTGTATAGAATTATTATTTCACAATGCTTTTAGTATAACTACTGTTTGTGGAATCTTATTTTCTGACTTGCTTGTTGCATAGCTGTGCTTCTACATGCATCACGAAGGCAAAAGAATAATTTAATTTGGCTGCAGAACTTTCATCTAAAAATGTGAAGCTTTGGTGTGAGAGCTAATAAGAGAGGGACGCTTTCTAGTTTCGAGTATCCTTACAGGCAGGAATCCATTATTGAAGAGGTTAAGATACAGACTGGTGGTCTCATTAAACTAAAAGGAACAGGACTGTGCTTTAAGAAGGAAAGCAGGTCAGACTGGAGAATCTGGGACGATTATTAACTTAAGGCTGGTTAGGAGAGAGTGGACGCTCCAGAAAATGGGCTTGTAAATGAAAAACAGAATGCACAGGACACTGGTGCAAGAGTGTCTTGACAAGAAGTAGACAGCAGAGAAGTACTCACATTCATTACTTAAGTAGAAGTAGAGATACTTGTGTAAAAAAAAATAGACTCTGGTAAAAGTAGAAGTACTGATTCAACTCCTTTACTCAAGTAAAAGTAAAAAAAGAATACAGGTTCAGAAATGTACTTTTAGTACAAAAGTAAAAATGAATTTTTAGTTTTGATGGTACATGATGCCTTTTTTGATAACTGCAAAACGAAAAAAGTTTTAAGCACACAAACTAGGATTGTTTTCATCCTTTAGGAACCTGCACAGTGCTGCTACAGAGAAAAAACATCACTGGACAGTTTTTCATTTCAGCAACATTATAAACATTAAAAAAATTGAGCCTCAGTAGAAGCTGGTTCTCAAAGTTCTCTGAATGAAGATGTGCCCTTTAAGGTCTGAAAATCAGCCCGGCGGTGCTAAAAAGCCTCTGGCAGGCAGCTGAGGCAGGCAGGACTGTGTTGAGCTTCAGTGACAAACTGCACACTGCTGGGAAAGATAAAGACGTTTGTTGTCTTTTACGTCATGTCGTCATCTGCAGAGGTTGAAACAAGTAACGGGGCAGTTTTGAGAATGTAAGGAGGAGAAAGTCCAGATATTTGTGTTCAAATGCAGGAAGTAAAAGTAAAAAGTCATCAGAAAAATTAATACTCTAGTAAAATACAGATACCTGCAAAGTCTGCTTAAGTACAGTAACAAAGTATTTGTACTTCGTTACGTCCCACCTCTGGTAAACAGCAACACTTTTCTTTACTCCTGCAGTGCATGAACGTGACCTGGAAGCAGACATCGAAGGAGACACGAGCGGGGACGTACGAAACCTGCTCATGGCTCTCATGCAGGTAAGTGGCTCCGAGTTCCTACTCCACTCGTGTAACTGGATTCCCTCCATCTGTCCCCTGGACCTGAAATCGAGCTCACTCTCCCTTTGCCCAGCCATCCCATAAACACACACTCGCACACAAACTGGCCGCCGTCCAGACACCCTCTCATTAGTAAAACGCAGGCCAGATAGAGTTGCTTGAGTGAGACAGAAAGGCCTCGCTACGGAGCAAAAGTCATCTTAACCCTCGTCTTCCAGGGCAACAGAGACGAGAGCTACGAGGTGGACGAGGACCTGGCTGAGCAAGACGCTACTTCCCTGTTTGAGGTACAGTTTTAAATACATCTTTTTTTATCAGCCTCGTGGTGCATTTGTTAATCCTGGATGATGTGAATGCTTACACGCAGGCTGGTGAGGGTTGTTTTGGGACAGATGAATCCACCTTCACTTACATCCTGGCTTCCAGAAATTACCTGCAGCTCCAGGCCACCTTCAAGATGTACGAGCAGGTGGGTATCGGCTTATATGACCCGACATCTCATTTTCCTGCTAGTAATCACTGTTAGCATCTTATGTTACCCTTGGAACCTCCTTGCAAATCGCCACTCGCCATCAAATCATTGTTGAGGAGATTAGGAGGAAATTGTGGAAGAAGAGAAAATGAAACATCGCATTTTCTCTCTTGCAGCTCTCTGGAACTGAAATCCTGGATGCCGTCGAGAACGAGACTTCTGGGACGCTGAAAAAATGCTACACTGCTCTCGGTTAGTGTGAAATCTATCAATGTACAACCTGAATTATTGGACACTCATTTAGAAACAGCTCCGCTTGTGAGGCGATGTTTGAGGAAATCAGCCAAACTATATGGAGGATATTTCTTTTTATGGAGGGAAAGGGGCCTCTGGTGGTGGAACATGAGGCACATAAACTACAGCGGAGTTTAATTAAAGCTTTTCTTCTTTCCCCGCAGTGAGAGTCGCAAAGAACCCGCAGCTCTACTTCGCCAGACGTCTGAACGATGCGATGAAAGGAGCAGGCACTGATGAGGACACCCTGATCCGCATCATTGTGTGTCGCTCTGAGGTAAATGCGTGATCAATGGGTGGAAAAGTAGCACAAAAGCAGCCATGATCCTTTTGTTTTCTGCAAGAAATGCGAGCGTTTTACCACCACTTTAAGTTATTTTGTAATAATAATAACGTGCAAAACATTTCTACATGTCCACAGACTTGGTAAAATTAGGTTGGACACTGTATTAATAATCTTATTTCTTTACCTTGCTGACGTGTCCACATGGGGTCTCAACAAACCAATCAAACTAATCCTGTCAACTTGCCAAATTGTGCTTTTCAGATCATTATTTTTCTGCAGAGTTGGTTTCCAGTTTAAACACGTGTGGCTGAGTTACTCCAATATTACAAACTTGCGATAGTGCAGTGTAGAGGAGCTTTGCAGTTTTTGAACAGAAGCAATGATGTAGAGTTACATTTAAGCCATTTTAAGGCAGGAAGGAATCGTTTTAATGGAAATGCTTCCTTTACATACGTGACTTTGAGGTGAGCTTTTAGGGGTTTAATCAATGACTGGAGGTGGACTTTAACCTGGCAGCTGAAAAATGTGAAGGTGCTTCCTGGCCTTTTTTTTTTCTTCTTTTTTTGTAGCCTGAGCCGTGTTCTTACTTTGCTTAAACAAAAATGATGCACAAGCAGTATTTAAACAGTGTCACAAATTCGGTAGCTGTCACCTAAAAAAGTAGTTTTTCTGTTTTGCTATATGCTACAGATAGAGACGCAAATTTTCAGTTCAATTCTAAAAACTTTCTTTGTCCCCAGGGGGTAATTTAAGGAACTTTTTATCCCAATTAATCCCAGTTTTCATGAGCTGTTATAGAATTAATCTGACTGTGTAAGTACTGTAAATCTGTCTGGCAATTTGGTTTGTATTTTTTTCGTCCTCTGCTGCTACAGAATCTGAATCCAAGATCATGAGTGTAAAAATCTGTGAGCTCCACAAAAATATGGTGGCAGTGTGTTTGGCAGAAGCTTTCAAAGTAAAGTGTGGGACAAAGGATGTTAATAAAGTGGTAGTGTGACTGCAAAAACAGCAAAGACAAGTCAAATATTTAGCTGTGGATTTATTGTAAAAGCTACTTTTTGGTTTCAGTTTTACTTCTCATTTGCATGTATACATGACCAAGAAATGTGTTTTCTCCTGGAGAAGTCTAGTTTTTCCAATCCTCTACTCAGATTATAAAATATGTTTTACTTTTATACTGTACATACATTTTTTAAATTAAATTTTTTATAAGATTTTCCTCAGGAAAAAGCCAAAAATAAAAATAAAAAATAGGAACGCAATCAAGTTTATTTACATAACACCTTGTCGTACACACGGGTTGTTTAAAGTGCTTCACATGGACATTAAAATAAATGAAATTAAATAAATCATGTGATTGACTAAGAAAAACCAAAGCATATAAGAGATAATATATAAAATAAAATTTGAAAAAAAGTTGAAATTTAGTGAATAACAGTGCAGGCAGGTTTATTTAAAACAGTAGAAAAAAACAAGTCTTCAGTTTGCTCTTAACCATGGCGACATTTGGGGCAAATATAAGGCTCAAGGAGATATAATAGTGTTTAATTAAACTAGTGCATGAGTATGTAATAAAAAAACATTTCAGAGTTGTGGTTAACATGCCATTGAATGTTTATGTCATATAAATCCAGCAAAATACGCCAAGCTTCAGCTCTACCACCGTGCATACAGTGTACTGATGTTTAATATCTTTGTGCCCACAGTACGATCTGGAGACCATCAAAGAAATGTACCTGGAGAAGTACGACGTGTCCCTGAAGGACGCCCTGAAGGACGAGTGCGGCGGCGACTTCAAACGCCTCCTTCTGGCTATTTGCCACTGAGAGCTGCAGGCAGGACGCAGGTTTTCTGTCTAACAAACTAACAACACCCGGTCCCTCCGTATGACGATATTTAGGGAGCAGGAGGGTGGAGAAGTGACGAAATAATTAACTTGGCTTGTGTCTTGTCCAAACTGAGTTACTGTGAATGTTAATGGCTCTAATTATTGTTTTTTTTTTTTGTAACTTTTGGCACAGACTTTGTCATTGATTTCCGTATGTAAGACTCATCCGTGTTTTTAACTGCGTCTGTCAACTACTGCCCATTTCTTAGCCGACTTTTTAGCTCTAATTCATAACACTTTTACCAGCATTTAAATAGTGGCAGGTCATTTTTAGCCACTGTAAAATAAAAGCACCAAGACTTCCGTATTTCCAACAATAACAGGACTCATATGCAGCCATGTTTTAGCTTCAGTACGTCCTTTAGCCGCATTATTTAACGTGTTAAACCTGTGGTGTTGCTATTACCCCTATATATGCATATATACTGTTTTAAATTCTCCTTTTTCACCCTCCACGCCCCAATTTCTGTGACTGTTATCCTGCTGTTAGAACTAATGCAATCACTCCGTATGGCTTGAAGTTTTTTTTGTTTTTATTTTTCATAAAAAGAAGAAGAAATGTGAAAGTTTGTATTGAAGGACTGTTCGGTGGTGTCACGAGGGATATGCAATGTCATGTGAAGGGAATTGTTTATCACAGCTGATCCACAAAAGAGATGATATATTTTAGCTTCTTATCAAAAGGAACTTTATACTGATTTACAATATGTTATGTTTTTTTTTTTTTTTTTAAATCCTGAGCAACTAGAAAAAAACTTGACAAATCCAAACAAAAAAAAACACCTCACCTTGTTATATATTTTTTGTATTTTACTGACTAACAAGAGAGAGAAGAGAGTTTAATATATAGCGTTATGTAGTTTTAGGAAGGCCTGAGGTTCTGTGAAAAGAGAAATGGTGTTTTGGTGGTCTGGGCATTAACATCAGGACAGTCTGCATCTGTGTCATTTGCGTGTCTATTAATGGCAGCTGCGATTTGCTATGAATTACCACTGTTAAAAACACTTTGAAGAGCTGAGAAGATACCCAAGCGAAGTACAGAACACGAGATAGACGCAACATCTACCTGGACATCAGTTGTTTGCCTCTTTATAGCCAAAGATTTTAGTCTAACTGCTAATAAAGTTTCCTGTAGCGCCACCGTGTCTGGTTGCATCTCGCTTCTTAGTCCTACTCTGATCAAACATAATACATGTGTGTTACTGTGCAGTGTGTTAAAGTTGTTGCCACAGCTGCCACCTAGCTGTTTACGCACCATGATGCAGTTGTCATGGCGACACAGCAGCCCTCCCCTACAGCAGGTGAGTATGGTTTCCACAGCAACCCCATCCAACACTCTCTTGCTGTCCCTTATTTAGCCAACTGCTGAAGACTGTAGCTGTGAATGAGAAAGGTCTTATTTTCATGCCATGTTCAATGAAGGGACACGCCCCCTTCAAATGTGTCCATGCTCCTGTGCTGCCTTCATGGACAGTTGGAAATATGCAAGTTCAACATCCAAGCTCACAATGTGGGGAAGAATAATTGGGAGTTTTATATTTAATTATATTAAGCATTTTCAGATTATTTTTACAGTTCACATCTTTTTTTTTTTTATCTGAAGTAAGGTTGTTTAAATCATTTTATTTCAAATTTTCTTGTTTCAACTCATAGTTGAGGCTACAGTGGCTTAAAGTAAATTATATTTTGCGTTTAGGACCTTACAGTATGACAGAAACTACAAAATTTCAAGCCTAAATTAAATATCCAGGTTAAGACTTCACAATATATTCTAGCTTAAATGTTAAGGTTGAAAACCTACAACTTTGTGTTTCCCAACAAACTAACTGACTAATTTAAAAATAAATCCTTCAGAACTTCTTCATGGAAAAACCAACCAATCTCATGATTCCCTAGTAGCAAAGATAAACAAAATGTAGTAAAATAAAATGTGTGTTTTGAATGTTTTCTTTTTACTAATCTCAAAGAAGACATGGAAGCAGCATTTATTTATATATCCCATTTGACTCAACAACCTTACACTATTTATACTATTTACTATTTATAATGGAAATTTAGCAAACTAAGCAGTTAAGACCATTAACAATATATGAAATAAAAGTTTTCTTTACTACATTAAATATGGGTTGTGGTCTGTATTACCACATTTGGAAGGAGGTGCCATTTGATTTGCTTTGGAGTTATTGATGCCGGAAGTTCGAATCTTTGAATATCTTTATAACTCTGGAAGCGACATTAGTGAAAAAAATATAATGTGTGTGAACGAGATAATAAGTCGTTCCCACGCGTTAATATCTCTTGGCCACGACTTATTATCTCGTTCCCACGTGTTATTAACGCATGGTAACGAGTTACTATCTCGCTATCATGCATTCTATTTTTTTCAGTGCTTGAAATGATCAGTGCTTTAAAAAAAAAAAAAAATAGTGTCTCGCTCTTAAAAAAGAAAAAAGAAAACAAAACAGTACTACTACTAATAAATTCTAATCTCTTTGGGTTTTTCCTTTAATCAAAGCAGCAGTGATGAGTCCGAGTTTCCCCGGCGGCCCTGAACGCAGCGCCGTGCTCCAGTCTCGTCCGTGTCGCCGCCCCTCTCCCAGACATGCCTGTTGTAGTCTCGCATTTTTCCACTCGTCTCTGTTTATATTTTTTGCAAAAACGGGGCGTTTTGCGCGGCGTGACACTCGGAACTGACAACGGGACAAACTCGGACACGCTACCTTCGCCACTTTTAGCCGCTGGACTCTCTTGAAGGTACGTTGTTCTGTGTGTTTCACCGGCTTTGTTGCTCCTTTTCCCCCCTTTTAGCTGGTAATTACAGTCATTAGCATCCATCTTGGCAGGAGCTAATTAATACCACAGCGATGGAGAGATGCTTAGCCCTTTGTAGCCCACTGAACACTGCACATTTGCATGTTTTGGGGGGTTTATAACTTCTTTTATGTCAAATATTATCATTAAAAATTCTCACCAAACACTGCCATGTTGTTTAGAAATAAATTCAGGTAAAGATAAGAGGCCTGCGCACTTATGCTGCAATAAACCTCCATGTATCATGTAGAAAACATCTCTTTGAACTGCGGTGGTTCGTTTCCACGAGAGCAATCCGCACATGAATGCCTGGAGTGAGGTGTTGAAACCAGATTAATCACTGCAGCACTCACTCCTGACCTGTGTTTGGGTGCTGCAGCCTGCACATGTCAAAGAGTCAATCATCGTCTCCATGGAAACGTGAAGTAAAACAGGCATGTTCACTTCCTGCAGGTGTTATTTCATATATTGCATCCAGGTATCAGGCACCTAAACGCACCACTTCTCTTTCACCTGCAGCCAATTAGCATATTTTGGTGACACAATGTGGAAAAAAAGGTGCACAAAATAACTCATACATGACTCATGATGGTTTATCATGAGCTGCTGTTGCTCAGCGTGATGAAATTATTGCATTAACTGTGAGTTTTATACATGAAGTTTAATTTAGTTGCCACAAGACTTAAAGGTCCCATATTTTTGCCTCTTCCCAGCAAATTATTGAACATTTCACGCATCCTCACGTTGTGTTAGTGCTTAGAAATGCTGCAAAGATGGTTGATTTCACCACAACTGTATAACCTGTTGGACAAATAGCATACTTTAAAATTTTTTATTCAAGTCTGTACAGCAGCTGACCTCACAAAGTACTTTGGTGCAGTATGCATACAGCTGGTACGTACTACTTTGTCTTCATATCGCGTTTTGTAATGCAGAAGGAACTGAAATGTGTTTGTGTGGCTCAAGTTGTTTGTATGTGAACTATCTGTGCAGAAGATTGTGGGTCAGAGTAGCTTTAGAAAAACAGCTGGTTTACATGCTGCAAAATCCGACTACGATAGTATTTTTTGCATACTGCATTTGATAGATAGATAGATAGATAGATAGATAGATAGATAGATAGATAGACTTTATTGTCTGTCCCAAATTGTGACAGAAATTCTCCTTTGGCTCCAACAATAAAAATATACAACACATATTAAAGCACACTTAAGACACAAGCTCACAAAGTACACACGTCTCAAAGAGTTGTTAAAAAGACATAGCAGCCAATGAAATATATTGTTCAGTGTCTTATTTCATTTGACATACTATGTATTAGGACATACTTAGTATTTTTCTGGTGTGCTAAATATTATGGAAGTATAGATGTTGGGAAACTTCCCTGGTTTTAGCCCTGCTGTCAACGGGCTGTTTCAGTGTCTGTAGCTTTAGATGCAGCTGAGCTACTGTTGGCCACGCCCCCTTCAGGAAGAAAACTCTCTCTGTGTCTGTGATTGAGCAAAACAGTTCATGGTACAGCAGCTGACATCGCTTTTAACATTCTCTCTAGTTCCTGCTCCAGTGCTTTTGCAGCTTCATGGCAAAAAAAAGTCAGTTGATTTTGTCCAATTGTCAACAAACATATCATCATTTCTGACACAATATTGCATTAACTAGTTTGTCTTCCTCACTAAGTTACACCCTACAGTATTTTTTTCTTTTGAGTCCACCGTCCTCCGTCCTCCTCTCTTTCAGCAACCATCAAAACATTAGTTTAGTTCAAAATGAAATTAAAACAAAGATGGTTACGTCATGCAGCAACATCTAAATGTCAACTTCACATTTCTTGATGCACAGCTTTGAAATGTCTTTTTCCTTATTTAAAATTATTTAGTGGTATAAAAATCAGTATGTGAACCAGATGATTGATCCACAAAGTGTTTACTAATCGCGTGAGCTAATATTTTAAAGTGAAGCCAACTTGTGTCGTTCCGTGTTGATTCGTCACTACTTCTCCTCCCTACCGGTAGAGTTTGTTAGTTCATATTTCAACCTCTTGTAAATTACAGGCTGTGTGTCCCTACATGCCTCTGATATTTGATCCGGCTGCAGTTCTCCGGCAGAAATTGTCGGCCATGGCTAACTGCAGAAACAGATATTCGGTTCACGTGTGTGAGGAAGCTGAACCGCACTTTAAATTTTAACCCGAAGCCAATGATGTTCGACACTTGTAGCTTCATACATGCATCAGTGCAGATCGAACCTTGTTTTGCCAGGAAAGCTTGCACACTGGCACTTCTGCAGAGGTTTCTTTCTTTTCCTGGGAAACTTTGGCTGATTTAAGAACTGATGCACTACTAACTAATCCCTGATAGGAAACAGCAAAATGGAGAAAAACATGAAAAGGGATAAACAGCATCGTGATAAAATTCTGAAGCTAAATTTACGGTTTGAGCACAAAATCCACGGTTCCCTGCTCATTCCTAATTAATGCGTCACTAATGCATGATTCATCATGTTCTAATGAATGTATTAATGATTGATGTATCATGAAATCATGTGGCTAATAAATGATTTGTTCTAAGTACAAAGGTAAAAGCGTTGCTCACAGCAGGAGGAAAACCAAACAGCTGCAGCGAGGCTTGTTTGTCAATCATTAAACATTGTTAATTTTCTTTTTTTATTGAAGTTTGCATTCAACAGATGTTTTAATAATAGAAACACTTGGTTAACATGACTTTAATTATATGACAATGAGGACGTTTTTGCAATAATAAATGCATTGCTCCTATGATAAGATATGCGTGAGCTGCTGTTAATTCTCATATATATTCCTCATGTGTATCATTGATGACTGCAGGGATTCACACATGAACTGAGCCAATTAAAGCAGTCAGCTAAGAACTTCAACTGGAGCCGTCACTGCTTGAGGTAGCTTCTAATTCATTGCAATCTTTTATGAAAATAATCTACTCATTCTATCTATTCATAGCTGTTTATTCCACAAAATATATCTTTGCTTATCAGATAACAGCTGGCGTTGTTGTTGTTGCGGTGGTTCAGCCACAAACGAGAGAATGGAAGCACTAACTATGGAGTCTTGATCTTGTATTTTTCAGTTGAAGTTGCAGCTAATTCAGTACGAGGTGTGTCACAGTGCGTGCATCTGAAATATATTCAAGCTGGCTTCGTTAAGTCACACTGTATTCTGTGACCTGAATTTAAATTTTTCGTTGTAATGCCACTACAAATGCTTTTATCAGACTTAATCGCACACTTGAATTGATTATCTGTGGATTTATTTAAGGTTTAATTAATATTGATGGCTATAGTATAAACCGAAAGCTAGGGCTGCATGATGTTGAAGAAAAAGGCATTGTAATATTTAGTTTTTCTGCTATATACTGTATATTGTGTTATCAAAAAACCGCAAGAATTTTGAGCAGATTACTGCAATAAGTCGTTTTAGAAATAATTAATTGTTATAGCGCGAATGGCGGGATTTTATAGAGGAGTGCATCTGCATCAAAATAAAGAAACGAGTAAATAAATAGCTGAAAAAGTACATTTTGAACTTTTTTGTATGGTATAAAGCATCTGAACTAGCTTTTTTTTTGCATTGAGTGGCAGTCTTGAGCTTTGTGGTGCTGATTTAATGGTCAAACAGGTAAGCTGTGTTGCCTTGTATAGTACATGACACTGCACCTGTTTTTGAGCTTTTTCATCCTTTCTGTAGCAAATATATTTACACACAACTTTCTGCAACCAAATGGTCCTTGTCACAGTTTCTCTCCTGTTTCTGGCTCATTTTGCTGTGCGCATGTGGAGCCCGAATGTCAATAAACTCTGTGTCTCGCAAATGTAGTTTTAAAAAAGAACTTTTAAATTGGTGAAAAAACTAGATTCTGTCAGACAAGACAGTTTTCTTTCATATCAAGCAGCAAAAAAAATGTAATTCTAGCCTGATGTGTTGAAGTTAATGAAATTAATTTGCCTGATTATGCATGCACACAACGTAATGTAAATACCAAAATGATATATAGTGCAGCCCGGCTAAAAGCAGCTACTGGATGCAAGTATTGTCGTTTTTATAGTGCATGCTAATTTGGAACACCCCGTCCTTGAAAAGCTTTTATTAGACTACCTGAAAAGTATAAAAAATTGGATTTAAAAAAGAAATTTGAGCGTAGTCAGTGACAAAAGGCAACCATTGCATTCAAAAGCTAGACGAGAGGACAGTTAATTTAACAAGGATTTTGGAGCTCCCTTAAAAGTGGTGAAGTTTGTAGCAGTTTTCAAATAATAATCAGGTTGTTAGTTTCAAGACTTCGCTCTGTTTGATCTGTATTTGCTGAAAAACTGGCGAGAAAGACTATTTAAACACAAGCTCTACATAATTTATTGTATTTTACTTTATTAAATTAACACTATTTCAGCAAGTTTAAAGTTTTTATAGCTGTTGAGCCAAAATTGAGACGCTATACGTTCAGATAATAAAATATATTTGTCTGTCTGTGAAGCACAAGCACCTCACTTCACAACACAAAACCAATGTGTGACCAAACTAGTACACCAGCATTTGTGATTACAGCCGTCCTCAACTGGAAATACCGTATCTGACGGCTCGCTGAATGTCCTGGAGCACCTGTTCTTGTAATCACAAGATTGTAAATCAAAATTATGAGATTCATAAGTCCTAATTATGAGATAAAGTCTGCAGTTTTGCTTGTTGTTCTTGCTCCAGTGATGATCCCTGTTCATATTGAGTCATGCAGCAATTTCACACCATCGTATACATGTTTTAAAAAAAGAATGGCTGCTAAAAATACAAATCTTTGATCTTATCTTAGTGAACTGGGTTGCAGCTTAATCTCTGCATGTCTCAAACACATGCATGAAGTTATGCCAAACGGCTGCTTCTGTGGCATATTAATGACTGCACCAGCCAACGCGTCATATTATTGCATCTCAAGTAATACCGCCTTTATTACTTTACTATAGAGCGACAGGTCACAGCGCAGCCATTCATGCATTACAATGAATTCCTGCATAAGAACTGTTCAGGCGTAACAGCGTGACGTTTCAGTTTCATATCACGGAGTTATTTGTTCAGCGAGAGACAAACGAACAGCCGACGTTATCGTGTAATTATGACTTCTGTATCTCGTAATTTTGACGTACCATCTCATAATTAGAAGATCCGCATCTTGCGAAAGATCTCATAATTACAAGATCTTCATCTCTTAATTACAAGATACAGATCTCGTAATTATATGATCCCTATCTTGTTGCTATGGAAACTGTTTTGGTCCCAAGTTTACTCGCAGCCAGCTGTTGATGGCAAACATCGTAACTGCACAGGACACCTCAGATAATGTTACAGCATCTGTTTAAACTATTGGAATGGTAAATGTCTCCCAGAATAACAAAGTAAAAAGCCCAATAGTTATGAAGTCATGGCTCCATTTTAGTGTAATTTTGCTCTTATGGCAGAGTGTTACCAAAAGCTTGTGGTCATTGGCTTGAATGTTTTGTTGTAATTGATCATTTCTTCGTACCAGTGAGATATTTTAGGTTCTTTTTCCAATATTCAATAAATGTTTCTCCTAAATTCTTATCTTCAATTTAGTGTAATCGTCAATTAAATTCCCCTCTGTCCAAGAACTTTTTCAGAGCCTTTTCCAGAGCTGCTGCAGGAGCAGGGAACTGCTGCCATCAGGCAATCTGGTGCATTGAAAACCTCCAGACTGATCAACAGCTTCATTCCACAAGCTGTCAGAATGCTGAACTGCTGATCTAGATATGCAAACACTTGTTTATTTAAATTGCTTTAAGTTACTGGATCCTGAAGAAACGCTTGCTCATCTTGCCTGTACTACTGTGTATGTACAGCAAAATGACAATAAACTTGATTTGATTTGAAGGGATTTAAGAGACTTGTTGGCAAAGGAAGCCATTCTTGTCATGTTGAATTCACCCAGTAACCAGGACGTCCTGTGTTAAGCAAAGCCGAAATCTATTGGTGATGGTATGTGGCTGTCTTTACATTCGTCCAAAAAAAACCCCCAAAAAACCCCCAAACCCTGCAGTCCTGAGATGAGTTACAGCTGTTACCACCAGTTCACCATGGCTACACAATATATGATATATATGATGCTTTATTTTTTTGCGATGTATATTACAATATAGAAACAATGCAGGAGTTTTTACCAGATAACTTAAAAACAGCTGAAACTTTGCGAGTGACAACAACTGCAAGACACTGCTGACAGAGTAGCTGTAGCCAAAATATTTCCATACAACTGACATTACGTTTCTTTGTGCAACCAAATCTTCCTTTATCTGTGTTTCTCTCTTATTCTTTGCTAATTATGCTGCCCATTTTCTGAATACAACTACTTAATAAAAAGGGTCACTTTGTTGGTGGGAATTTCAAAAAAACACACGTGATGCTTAAATATGTATCAGTGTATTGGTGGGTGTCATCCATAGTATTGGAAACCGTACATTTGGAACCCTTATAACCCGCCTCTTGTCACTGCCCAGGGCTGAAGAGATGTCATCGGTGTGGCAGCAGGAGCCGTCGGGTTACTCCCCCTGTGTAGAGATCGACTCCAGCTCCGTGAGGACCAAAGACCGGCTCAGCTCTCCGGCCTGGCTGAAGCAAGAACAGGACGACCTGCGAATCATCAAGTGGGAGAATTTTCAGACGGGAGCCTCGGCAGATGCTGTGCAGGACAACACGCCCAGCAGCGCCATGTCAGGTACGAGCCGCTCAGACGGCATCTTTTACTGGTGATGACTTTCTGCTCTTTTGACAGCATAAAAACAAAACAGAGCTTGTTCAAAGGGGATCCAAGAAATATATTTATATATTTTTGTCGCGCCATAATATTCATATTTATTAGGTTTAGTTCTGTATTTTTTAGCTACATTATTATGTTAGGTTATTCTTCATAATTAATGCCACCTTAATATGTATTACAGTCTGATAAAATAATATTTTGTAGAAGTTTTGTCGGGCTTTATACCTTAAAATTTCAATCACAGTAAATAATATTAAGGACACTCGTTCGGTTGCTTTCGAAATGCCATCATAATCTTTTTACTGGAGTGCACTTTGATACAACAGCTTTGAATATACGATATTAAAAACAAAAAAGCCTTTATTTAACTATTTTATCTTGTTATGTTGCTTGCGTGAGATCATATTTTCATTGTTTGAATACGCTTTTATTATTTATCAGGTTTCACATCTGTTCTATTGTGAAATTTGTAATTTGGTTTTCTCAAGGTGCTGTACAAGTAGAGTTATTATCATCTTAAAATATTAATAAACCACTGTTGGATGTGTTTATATAACTTTGTGCAATGGAACACATTTACCAGCTTTTCAGGTAATTGAAAGTGTAAATAGTTTGAGTCTGTTAAAGGGTCCTGGAGCAGAGAGTTCATGTCTGCTGTTAACTGAGGACGGTGGTAAAAGGTTATTCTCTTCATGTCTTTTGAAATTGATCTTTAACTTGAACCAATATTTCATTTTAATTGTGAGAAATGCAGTCACATTCCGTTTTCTATCATTAAGCAATGCAATTACATTACTTCCCTTTTGACGTGTCTCATTGTCACAATTATAATGATTTATGTGTATTTATTGTAAATGATTTGCATGCGTGTGTGTTTTTTTTTTTTTTTTTAATCACTCCTGCACCAACAAATCACAAATTACAAACAGCGGCCATACTGTACCACCCTTATCAAACAAAACATTCTGCCAGAGAAACTCAACACAGCAGAACTTTACCTGGTTTGTTTTAAACTCTCTCCAAATCGTGTCTTTTTCTAGCTGCCTCCCAGGTGGAGGGCCTCCCCCCGAGGGTGCTGCTGACCATCACCAAGCTGCAGTGCATGCTGGAGAGCAAACAGGAGCGAATCGCCGCTCTGGAGCGACAGGTGGAGGACCTGATGCAGGACCGCAAGTTCCTGAGGAGCCAGATTGAAAACCTCACAAGCAATCGCTCCATGCCAGCGTTTGCATCACCCAGTCCAGTAGCTGAAGGTCGGCGACTGAAGTGAACTTTTATGTGATGTTTGAATGTGCTGGATGCTCCTATTGATGTAATTTTTGGCTTTATTTTTACAGCTCCTAAAAGCAAGGTGCAGCATTCAGAAAACAAATCTCGAAAGAGAGAAAGAGCTTCTTCCACGTCCTCCGACAGCAGCGACAGCGGTTCAGAGGCGTCCGACTCATCAGAAGTGTCGGCGGCATCGAGCGAACACAGACGGAAGAAACACCATAAGGACAAGAAAAGATCAAAGAAAGGGAAGGACTACAGCAGGAAGAGAGGTAATCATGGATTTGTGGTGCCCTCCAAAGAGACTTTAGCCACTTCCAAGGGACACTCACCGGCATGAAAATTGTACAAATTCAAAATTAAAAAACTTTAATTTAGTCGGTTTTGTTAATTGGAGTTCCATTTAGTCAGACATAATCACCATTTTGATGTATCTAAAGGTCAGAAATAAGTGGAAAATGCATAGATAACCTAATAAAGATGCACAGCCTTTACTATATGTGGACTTCTCCAAAGACCCAATCTGACCCTGGAAAAACCCCGCTGTAAGGTGTCAGGTCTAACACCACCGTATCATAACAATATCTTAACATCACCTTGGTTGAAAAGGTAGTATGAAAGTAAGAAAACACTGCAAGCTCTGCTCTTCATCTCATTTACCCAAAGATGTTTCATTACACCTCTAGAAGTACCAACACAATGCAGGCTTAGTTTAGCAGTGCTACCAGCAGCCAACGGCAGCAACAAACTTTAAATGAAACATTAACGAACTGATGCACAATACCAAAAAAACTAAATTACTCTTGATAACGAACCGTTGTCAATGGTACAAGAGTATGTTGCTCTCAGCATACTGGAGATTCCCAAAACATCACCACATCACAAAATCGGTCTCACCAAAGATGTACGACTTTTTAAAAAGCAAATTAATAACCTGTAGCAGAATGTTTTGGTCTAAACAAAGCCAGTGCAGTCTTCAAAGTCTTTTTACTTCTATGGTAATGGTGTTTTTATGGTAGAAATACTATAAATATTATTATTGAACACTACGGTGCCTAAATTTAAGTACAGGTTGGAAAAACAGTGGTGTCAGTGCCTTGGTACCAGATTTAAGCACTTTTCTGTCTACTTGTCCAGCTTGGCAAAACACAATATTTAAAGGATGTTGAGTTAGATAATAAAGGATAAAACTTTATTATTCCTGAAGGAAATTCTTGTGTCAAATGTTGCTCATAAAAAACGAAGTGACATAAGAATTGCTGTGCCTAAAAAGTACAAAAACAATAAGATATAATACATTACAGAGATTAAATAAAAGTATGATGAAATAAAGCTAGAATAGAACAGTAAAGAAGTAATGCTGTCAGTTATACTGAGGTGATAATATTACACGTGATAATGAAACATTACACATGAAGACAAAGTTAGGCAAATGATTCAGTGAGTTGGATAAATTCCCCTTTTAAAATGTTCTATACTCTTATGTGGAGAGAGTAAACTATATAAAATATATTAGTGAATAATTTTCACTAATAGGGCTGCAAGGTGGCTAGAACCGTTGCCTCGCAGCATGAAGGTCGCTGGTTCATGTCCCGGTGAGGACACCCGGGATCTTTCTCCGTGGAGTTTGCATGTTATCCCTGTGCAGCATGAGTTTTCTGCGGGTTCTCCAGCTTCCTCCCTCAGTCCAAAAACATTCTGAATTATCTGTAGGTGTGACTGTGAGTGCGCTTGGTTGTCTGTCTCTAAGTGTGGCCCTGCGATGGACTGGCGACCTGTCCAGGGTGTCCCCTGCCTTCGCCCTAAGTCAGCTGGGATAGGCTCCAGCCCCCCCGCGACCCTAAGCGGTGTATAGATGATGGATGGATGGATGGATGGATGGATGGATGGATTTTCACTAATATCCATTGGAAAGCGAGACAGCTATTAAGATGCCATCTCCTTTCTTTCCACCAGCTACTGGCGTCCAGTACGTCATCCATCGCTACAAACAAGTCCTGTCCGCCTTCATCAAGAAGAAGAGCATGAGCGAAGCCTTCCGCCACCTCGGAATCGACAGGAACACCATCGCCAACACGGCGTCGATTGCCGAGCTCCACCTGGCCGGCAAAGACATGGTCCCCTTGGTGGGCATGTTTCGCCAAGGAGAAGAGACTCTGGTCAGCTACGCCCAAAGGTGCACCCTGGTCATCGACAGTGACGCCGACCTCTCCAGGAGAATAGACCAGATGAAGGCCAACGGCGAGCTGCTGCCCATCTCAGGGAAAAGGCCGAGGGTGCTGCATTCTCACCTGCAGCAGCTGGGGGGCGCTGCAGAGAGCATTTTAATAGGTTGATGCTAATTTATTTGCGCTGAGAAGAAGTGGAACATAATAATGCCTTCACAAAATTATATTCCTTTGTTTTTGTCTCCCAATCGGAACTGCTGGATTTCAAAATAGTTTTCTGTAGCATTTTCTTTAATTCTGCTTTATGTCTCTAGGGGACTAGATATATTTCAATGTATACATTTTAGTATTCATGTTTGGGACATGTATTTTGTTCTTTATAGCCATAAGAGACTTGTTTGCAGCTGCTTTCACTCATGAAAAATATTATTTATGTGTGTAGTAACAGAAACAGCCACAAGATGGCAGTGCTCACATATTAGATTATTGTTTACAAATCACTTCTCTTGTCATTTACTTCAAAATGGTGGATTGTCAATTTCCATTTTCCAGCCTTTAAGTTTTGTGTTCAAAGAGTTTGTGGGAAAATAATTTTACTCATGTGGTGATTCATATGCTGTAAGTTGAACTGAGCGATTTGAAAAAAGCTGCATTTTAACAAAGCACGAAATGAAAATGAAAAACGCTGTTTGTTCATACAGAGATTTCCCAGAGTTGTTTCTTTTGTTTGAAAAACTCTTAAAAATACTACAACAGGAATCCTCTGTGCATGATGTTTAATAGACGGGGTGTCCTGAGCGTTTGACCCAAGTGATGCTTAAAAGGCCTTTAGAGTAAATCATGAAAACTGAGCTGTGATTGACAACAAATGAAATGTGATGCAGGACAGCTGTATATTTGAGGGATGTTTTGAGGTCTGGCTCTTGATGAGTGGGCAGCAGCGCTTGTTTAGACATCTCGGTCCTTGGCCGATGGTGAGTGTCAGTGCAAAGTGTTGCCGTTGCCTCTCCTGCTGTTTGCTTTTCACACAGAGTGACAAATTACTCGTGCAAAGCCATTACAGGGGCTGCACCCGGGCTGTTTATCTTTGCATGGGACTCTGTCACTGTCACTCCCATTCGCGCGGCCGGCTATCTGCTTTATCTTTCACATCCCAATCTGTCCGTCCCCCTCCACTCCCCACTTTCCTCCCCCAACCCCCTCCGCCCCTCCTCTTGTTATGAACTCATTCAGTCATTTCTCATTACGCTCCTTTTCTCTTCGTCTCATCCTCCGACCCAAAGCTGGTCAAAAGGTTTGATTGTGTAGACACATTTTAAAGTTCTTCTCTCTCAGCTTCTGTGCAGCCAGAGGGGACAGGTGCATGCTGGTCTGCTCAGCAGCATGAGGTGGGGGGGAAGGAGAAAAAAAAGGGTGGGTGGGTGTATCGCTCTCTGCCAGCACTCATCTCTTCCCACCTCCTGAGGCATGCAAATGTCACTTCTGCTCTCCTTGTCACCAGATTCAAAGGCAGGTTTTTCTTGCAAACCCTGAAATGGAAAAGGAGAGCAAGGCACGAGATGTTAGTGCTGTTTGCTTTTCTGCACATCGCCTCAGTTGGTCAGCGAGTCTGAGAAAGAAATAAGGCAGGAAAGTGCAGCTGCTTATGCTCCTGAGTGGCAACTGTGAATTTGCCGCTAATGACTCGGGGCGATGGAGCTCAGAGCTGAAGATGGAGATAGGATGTGGGCCTAATCGAGCCTGAAGCGTTCTCCACCGCCTCCCCCGGCTCTTTGACTCACGCCACCGTCGGGCCGGCTGGGACTCCATTTTGTGCCTTTCCTGGCTGCAGGTGCCACGTCACTGCGGAGGCTCCAAGTGCCTGATGGGTACAAAACCCAACCCCACCTACCTCCTCCGCCTCCTCCTCCTCCATGTCCACCTTCTTACGCTCCTGACCTTGACAAAAAAAGAGCATCTGGACGTTCTCACAGAGAGCAGCTTGTAATAACCACCAATCACCGTCTTAATGGTGCAAGTAAAATGTGTTTGATGTGGTGAGTTCAGATGGCCCGTGGTTATGTTTTGTTGTTACACGGGCAGGGTGTGCCAGACCTGCTGCATAATAAATGCCTCAGACTTATTATATAAAGGATTACAAGGCTTGTAATGGAGCGAAAGAGCTCAGACTGGAAAAATTAGGGCTTGAAAAGCAGCAAGTGCTGTGTCACGATTACAATTACTGAGATTATTGCTCGATAATCAGCAATCAGCTTGGCATTTCATTTGGTTTATTGTTTGGGAGGCCAACAGATTTGAAATGGTGTAATGTTTGGCATTCTGAAGAAAATAAGTAATAATGACATCAGGTAATATTCTGTTTTACTTATACGTGTGTCTGGGCAGTTTTCTGTATTAATCTTCTGCCACCAAGTATCTTTTGATCACTTTCTGTTTTTTAGGGACAACAGGAATAAGTCAGTTTAACATTTTGGTTCATACACCAACTCTTCCTGCCAGAAGTTAGATTATGAAGTTGATACCAGGAACATGATTGTACAGTAAATGAGCTGCTTAGCCTCGCTTAGCACGAAAACAGGAATAAAGGGGGGAAAACAGCAAGCTTGGCCAGGTGTGGTAAATTTCTGGAATCACCTTCAGAACATTTTAAGGCAGCCTTAAAGTTTGAGCATGTTCTGCTTGCAGCAACCGAACCTGTCAAACCTCCTTCAGGGCCAAATTTTGGGGGCATAAAAATTAACTGTGGAGTTCTGAAAAAGTGCAGTGAAGGTCTTGATGCTGATGGGTTATAGGCACTCAAACATCACCATCACCAATGTCAAATTTGCCATATAGACTAACATAAACCTTTCATTGTTCTATTGTGCACAAGCTCACAGAATTTTGTCATTGTTTTGGCAGAATTGTAGTAAATGTTGTTGGATCAGAGACCACGCCGAAAAACAGAAAGCCTAAATGGCCGATTACAAGGCCATTCTTGTAAAAGTTCGCACCACTTTGAGAAGGAAATCTCCTTAAGCTGTTTCCACTAGTTTCCAGTCTTTGTGCAATGCTAAGCTGCAGCCAGAGGACAGTCGGTATAGCCTAGTTTGGTTGCTTAAAAAAAATGTGTCCATGGGTAACAAAATTCTTTATTTTATTTTTGTTTTAATTTAATAATAATTATGATTGTTTTGTTAGACATCATACAATATCTGTTACAACCCTATGAATTAGGGAAAGGGAAGCAACATTAAACTGGGTATTATTGCTAAAATAAAGTGATTTATTAACAAAAGCACTTAGAGTTGGCTAACTTAGTGAGACAAAGGGCTGGTTGGTCCTGGTAAATAAAAATGTGAGCTTATCAGTCAGTGTCTAAACCTGATTCAGCCCCCAGGTAGAAAAAACTGGTGTATCCATACTAATACAAATCACAGAAACTATACTACAAAAACGTTGAGAATCAAACTGAGCAGGTGTTTGTATACTTCCGGTTTCCGATTGCTGCCACGGGATTGGACGGTCGGACTGGGCGCCGCTCCAATCGGAATCATCGGGGCCTCAACTAAGCCACGCCCCAGGAACTACAGCTAAGCGTCAGTAGGGGACCGCGCTTCCCAAACTACAAACAAATGCAGGTAAGACACCAACATTCGGGCTTTGTGTCCGAAAATAATTATGTAAAATGCGTTTAAGTGAGTTTTAGAAGTATTTTCGAGCGTGTTTTCTCGCTTTAAACAGAGACATGCTAGCTGTTTCCCCCTATTTGCTGTTCTTTTGGTAACCCAAACTGGAGCCAGTTCGCCTAGCTTAGCCACAAGCTAACTTATTTCTGTTGAAAGGTAGCAAAATATTGTCTTTTTTACTTTATTTTTTAACAACTGGTATGCTTTAGAGGGACTACTGGTGTGTTTGCTTTATTTAGAGCAAGCTAACCTTTGCCTAATGCTAACCTAACAGGCTACTGGCATGAGTTTACATTTTTAAAGCAATAAATC